TGCATGCATATATGAATAATAACTTGCAAAGTGCATATGTGAATAATAACTCAGAAAGTGCATAGGTGAATAATAACTCAGAAAGTGCATAGGTGAATAATAACTCAGAAAGTGCATAGGTGAATAATAACTCAGAAAGTGCATATGTGAATAATAACTCAGAAAGTGTATAGGTGAATAATAACTCAGAAAGTGCATAGGTGAATAATAACTCAGAAAGTGCATGTGTGAATGATAACTCAGAAAGTGCATAGGTGAATAATAACTCAGAAAGTGCATAGGTGAATAATAACTCAGAAAGTGCATAGGTGAATAATAACTCAGAAAGTGCATGTGTGAATAATAACTCAGAAAGAGCATGTGTGAATAATAACTCAGAAAGAGCATAGGTGAATAATAACTCAGAAAGTTGATAGGTGAATATTACAGAATAATAACTTGCAAATGTTGCTTTGTGTTCATGATGATACCGATTAGTAATTATTAGCGCGAAGTTGTGATTACAAAGATTCTATAGAAAGGAGAATAAGTGATGCCTTTAATTTGCTTAAGTTAATACAAGTAATGATGTAATACCAAATTGCCAATACTAGTTAACTGTTTGATTGTTGTTTACGTTTTATTGTTTAGAAGTTATGTTCTATTGGTAACTTATTTCTAGTCAGTTCATTGGTTGTTGTTTACTTTTTACAGGACTGTATTATTCCTGCCATAAAAAGTGTCATTCCAGGGTTCCAATTATTTCTAGTCAGCTCATTGATTGTTTATGTTTTACGATTCCTGCCATAAAAAGTGTCATTCCAGGGTTCCAATTATTTCTAGTCAGCTCATTGATTGTTTATGTTTTACGATTCCTGCCATAAAAAAGTGCCATTCCAATACTAGTGTTCCCATTAGGCTGTCACTTATTTGATGATATTTCAGCTCTTTGGGAATAGGAGAATTAGGCGAATAGTTGCTCATATAACAGCGTTTTTATTTCTTGTAAGAGTTTGTGACAAGGAACAGTATAAACTGTTCACAGTGTCCATATTTGTTTTGAAAGTCAATGGGGTTCACAATGTTGGAATCCCCCCAACTCTAAAAAAGATGTCAAAATTGGAAAGAAAGAAAATGAAATGCTGTCTTATCTGCAGTATAAATGGCCAAATATCAAGTGTGTACCATATCTTGATATTACATGTGTTATGATACAAGTATGAAGAGTCAGAGAGTGGCTGAGTAAAGTGATAACATATTTGTGAGCAATATTAATGGGTTTTTTTCTGTTATGTCATTTGATTTACTGATACAAACCTTGTACTGACAGATGAGGCTGGTACCTTCTTTGCTCTCCAAACATTTTGGGGAAATTTCATTCCGAAAGTAAAATACATGAGTGTTCCGAGTACATTTTGGCGCGCATTTTTCACGTGCTATGTGCCGCGTATATTGCCCATGGATCAGAAGCCCTACGGTAGCATACATGTATTGTAGGAGAATTTTAGGGATTAGTAGAGTACATTTCACTAACTTAGGTAATGTCAAAGTCAGTTGCGTGGTTTAGGGTAGAGTCTATTTTATTAATAGGTGTGTCGTGTAGTGGTGTATGTGTTCACATTTGATACAAACCTATTTCATTAGGACCAATGTACAATATAGGATCGGGCACAAGTTTTCAAATTAACATGAAGCCTTTGCCCAAAAGAAATGTTACAATTTTATAAAATCAAGATGAAATATTTGGATATATACTTACAGAGAGAGAGAGGTGGAGGGAATTAACTTTAGTTCAACTTATATTTTCAATAAAAAGGTAACATATCAGCATTAACAACAATAAACAGTCGGTACATGTACACGAGACTAAATACCTATAGTTTTACTTAGCATCGGACATTAAACAGTAGAGCATTTACTTACACCTCTGACAAGGTCGGTCTTTATCTTCTGAATGACAGTGCACACTCTCCCGCGAAAACGCTTTTTTATTTTCTGTTGTCATTATCTATGACGATTTTCATTCGACAATGTGATCATGTGACTAAATTTCATACGCTTGCCAGTGTCGCGCATTTACACTGTTTTAAAATAATTACCAAATAAAATGCGTCAAAAATTCTGGTTTAAACCACCAAATTTGCTTTTATGGCTGAAACGAAACTTAAAATTAATAAATAAAATGTATGTACACATGTATGTCACTTGTTCAAATTACGTATTTTGGTGATTCAGTTCTTCTGTTTGAACAGTTTTGTGTATGCATATATATAAGATGTTGTAGGATTAGCATACAGGGTGTCTACGCTAACGTCACAACGCGCCGTGCACGTGATTTTCAAGTCTCTGAACACGAATTGCGCTTTGTGGCATTCATGATATACGTGTCACAGATGAAAATTTAGAGTTGTATAATATTATTATTATTATTCTCTTTATTTCCTCCTTTAAGAAGATTTCACAAAAAGAACAACATTAATTTAGTGAAAGAGAACGCTGAATTGGCATGCAAATCAAAATTATTACCAAGATATTATAACATTAGGATAATTATAGTAATTAAGTCGTTCCAAAATCACATCGGAGCATTGAGGTACATCATTTTTGCAATACAGTGATCATTATAACATAAGTATAATAATGATTAGATAGTTACAAAATACAAAAGTAACATATAAGATGTATCATAATTACATTACTTATATATATATATATATATATATATATATATATATATATATTGTACTTAATGATAATTCTTTAGATGTAATTTGTATCATATACATTTTAGCCATAATATGCTTAAGCATTTTTGAAACATAATGGACTGAATTAAGGTAAAACTGTGATATTTCTTTTAAATTCAATTCATACATTACTTCTCCACCAATCAAGATATGGAATAGGTCAAACTCTGAGTAATCATGTAAATAAACGCTAAACACATGATCACTGATACTGATCATTTGACACCATAATTGATCTCGAATTTCTTCAGTAAAATTATACTGTAAGACTATATGAGTATACACATCTTCATACGTTTGGCCACATCTGTGACATAATTCAACTGTGTTTACATTTCTGATGGACACAATAAGTTTCATAATACTACCTATGGATTTTACAACGTTTGATGTAGATAAAGGTTACTTTACATGTAAAACACCAGCGGTTCAGATCACTTAAACTCGATCTTTGAAACCATGATATTTGGCATGCGACTTTCTTTCGTTTAAGATTGAAATATGTAATTTATAACCCAGAATGATGTATTAATCTGCTACAATCCGTCGATCTCTAGTTAATAATAATTTGTGTATTTATAATATAAAGGTTACTTCAAATAGGCGAATCATGAGTGTTGGCTCAAGATTTAATTCCTTCACTCAAGCAACCTCATGCAACACGTAAACGTGTGTAACTAGAGGTCGTAAAACAGAAGATGTACAGCATTAATAATGGAAGATACACGATCCAATGTTACTTTTGTGTAATACTAATTATATAGAACTTTATTCCATCTTCATGTCCATAAGGAAAATTTTTGATTTGGGGTTCTAAATCTAAATAAAGAGGCTCGATCATTTCTATAAAGTTAAATCAGGTGAGGTTCAAAATTGAACTGATATTGATATATCTAACAATATTAAATCAAAATAACACAATGATATCAGGAACGCCCTACAACATATCACATATGATATCAAAATAACACATAATATCAGGGACGCCCGATCATACGTCCCACGTGATATCTAACAATATCAAAACGACACAATAGTATCATACGTCCCACATGATATCTAACAATATCAAAATAACACATAATATCATGGACGCCCTATCATACGTTCCACATGATATCTAACAATATCAAAACAACACAATAGTATCATGGACGCCCTATCATACGTCCCACATGATATCTAACAATATCAAAACAACACAATAGTATCATGGACGCCCTATCATACGTCCCACATGATATCTAACAATATCAAAACGACACAATAGTATCATGGACGCCCGATCATACGTCCCACGTGATATCTAACAATATCAAAACAACACAATAGTATCAGGAACGCCCTATCATACGTTACAGATGATATCAAACAATATCAAAATAACACATAATATCATGGACGCCCTATCATACGTCACAGATGAGATATCACAATATCAAAATAACACATATCAGATATCAAATGGTATTTCATTACATGTTTTGTGATTCAAATTTATTTTCTTACATATTTTCTTGTTAAGTGCCAAAAAGCATTATTTTTTCAATAGATGATTATTTACAAGTATTCACTTCATAATATTGTGATCATTTATTTAGAAAAGACACCTTTTCTCTCGTTACATGAAATTATAAAAACACAAGTAATGGTGAAATTACCCTTGGTTTAATGACACTCCGGACTACCAGGTGTTAGTAATAATATATGAATAAACAAGTTTTTTTTTATAAATTCTTTTTAAATTCCTTTTTCTCTGTTTAATTATTTCAGTTTTTATATGTTTTCTGGACACGGAGAATTTACCAATTTCACTATATATATAAGAAAAAAGACTGAGGTCCTCGCTCGCTGGTATTTAAACGGGATTAATGCGTTACTGATTATCAACCATTGTACAAACTTATAACGTACAAATGTCATGTTCCCTAAACTTTTCAAACGTGGATCTATTGAGCATTTGTTATGGATACCAGAGACATATATAACACATGTGTTATATACGTCTCTGTGGATACACAATTTTATTTTTTAAGATAAAACAATATATCATGACAGAATCGATGCAGTGATAAATCTGTCAGCAACATATTTCCACTATAAATTGAATCCAGTACCAATTATGCACTTTTCTTTTTTTTCTGTAGAAGTTGCGTTCTGTTACATTGGAAACTGAATTAGCTAGCAGCCAGTAAAATGTTGTGTATGTACCGAGTTATCGGCCTTTGTTGATCATGTGACATCACAGCTTTAAACGAGGACATTGCATTTTTCATGGCGGCAATGTTGTTACAAGAACCAGTGATACAGGTGATGTACGCAAAACTATGGATGTTAACTGGATTATTTTTGATTCATAGAGATTCCACATTTATTCTTTTATGGAGTTTATGTTCCACGAAATCTAATATCGCCCCACTTTCTTATAAACATTATAACGCTAATGCCTCTTTTTGACACAACCTGTCTTGTAATGACCAGGAAACGAGTATTGGGGTTCTCTCGAAATTAGACCCGAAGGAAAAAATGCTGAGTCTTAATTTCATACATTATTTTAGAGTTATCACTGATGTTCAGGTGTGATTGATACTATTATCACGAGTGACTTCTGGACGTGTCTATGGTAGCCATGTCTGCAACTCTGCATTGGCCATTATTGTAGACTGTGTTGTCATGATTTCCAGTACAACAATAATATCGACACATATTTATCTTTAAATTCCACATGAATCCATTCACCATAAACATGGAGGATTCCATGTTTAATAATTTCATTTCTGACTTCATCACACTGGAAGACTCCAACTTTCTAGGGAAGATGATGGGGGGGGGGGGGGGGGGGGGGAGGTAGGGGGTTAAATAAATATTTAAGGATTTAGACCTTAGCAGAGTCGAAAAATCTTTGTTGAGGGAGGGGAGGAGGATTCTGTTGTAATTTTGGTTACCTGTTGGCATGTAGGTGTGACTTTGACATAGTCTGTGTCACTACACTGACAGGTTGTTGTGATTTGTACTTGATGTTAAATATGGTCTCTTTCACTTAGCTGGCAGGTAGATATTGCTTGTATGTAGTCTTAAAAATACAGTCTCTGTCACTCAGTTGTTGTGTTGTTGTGACTTGTGCATAGTTTTAACTACAGTCTGTCACTCAGCTGACAGGTTGGTGTAACTTGTGCATAGTATTAAATGCAGTCTCTGTCACTCGGCTGATGGGGTGGCGTAACTTGTGCATAGTATTAAATAGTCTCCGTCACTTAGCTGACGGGTTGGTGTAACTTGTGCATAGTATTAAATAGTCTCCGTCACTTAGCTGACGGGTTGGTGTAACTTGTGCATAGTATTAAATAGTCTCTGTCACTCGGCTGATGGGGTGGTGTGGCTTTTATGCTGTGTTAAATATGCGATAAGCTAACACAGCATGCTTCTTTGGCTCAGTTGGTATACCAAAAGATGAATGCTGAGGACCAAGGTTTGATTCTTGTTTGGGTGTTCATCAAGAATGTGTTTTTATGTGAGTTAGATTGACTATCATATCGCAGGTATGATATACAGTGATTAATCATGAAACCAACATTTTCAGGAATCTTTTTAATATCTCTCAGTATGAAAACTCGTCAAAATTTTGAAAATGATAATCTAGACTAACCTGAAAAACCCTATAAAAGAAATGACTTTGATGCCGTCTCTTTGAATGTTGAACTAGCCTCTGGTAAAGATAATGCTTCAGTTAACTTAAGAAATGCTTTATAGGGGAAAATTTATCACTAAAAAATGAATTTGTAATGATGTTTTAGTGATTAACTTATCTTGAGGTGTTCATCGATCAGGGAATAAGGCCATTGACATATCTCGTTTGTAAATGTATATATGTATGCTTCTTTACAGACTGCTATATGGGATGCGTTAAATAACTACTGTTACAAAGATGCAACCTTCTTGGCGGAGAGACTTGTGGCTGAGGGTAAGTCAGCATAAAAGAAACTGAAGAGATTTAAGGCCAAGAGTAAGTGTGAAAATGGCAGAGAGATTGTGGCCAAGGGGAAGTCGGTTACAATAGCAGAAAGATTTGTGGCTGAGGGGAAGTCAATGTCAATGGTAGAAAGACTTGCGGTTGAGGTTCAGGGGAAGTCAGTGTCAGTGGTAGAAAGACTTGTGGCCGAGGTTCAGGGGAAGTCAGTGTCAGTGGTAGAAAGACTTGTGGCTGAGGTTCAGGGGAAGTCGATGTCAGTGGTAGAAGGACTTGCGACGAGGTTCATGGGAAGGCAGTGTCAGTGGTAGAAAGACTTGCGGTCGAGGTTCAGGGGAAGGCAGTGTCAGTAGTAGAAAGACTTCAGACTGAGGTTCAGGGGAAGGCAGTATCAGTGGTAGAAAGACATGCAGTCGAGGTTCAGAGGATGTCGGTGTCAATGGTAGAAAGACTTGCAGTCAAGGTTCAGGGGAAGTCAGTGTCAGTGGTAGAAAGACTTGCGACCGAGGTTCAGGGGAAGTCAGTGTCAGTAGTAGAAAGACTTGCGGTCGAGGTTCAGGGGAAGTCAGTGTCAGTGGTAGAAAGACTTGTGGCCAAGGGTAAGTCTATCATTGGTGAAAGACTTGTGGCTGAGAGCAGTGTTGAAGTTGGAAAGAATCATGGTAAGTCATGACAGAAAGATTTGTGGCCAATGGCCATGGTGAGTCAGTGTCAGTAGCGGAAACACTTGTGGCTGAGGGTGAGTCAGTGTCAGTAGTGGAAACACTTGTGGCTGAGGGTGTCAATGTCAATTGCAGAAAGACTTGTGGCTTGTGGCAATGGTTGAAATATTCTTGGCTTAGGACTTAATATGAGACATTGAAGATATTTAAGATGGTGACAGACTATGAGACCTTGAAGATATTTAAGATGGTGACAGACTATGAAACATTGAAGGACCTTGATTAACTAGAATCATCCATCACTTTTCACTGATAGATCTAGGGTCTGTTTTACTTGATCAGTATGTGTATATCTTTGTATCTTGCAGTCAAGACATCGGATGAAGCCCTGTTTTTACTTGCCACCTGTTACTACAGAATGGGAAAGTCAGTACAGGCGTACATGTTATTACAGAAGAGAGGATGTCCAACTCCCCAGTGTAAATACCTCCTAGCCCGGTGCTGTGTAGACCTCAACAAGTAAGTTAATGATATTACTACAGGAGTGGACTTGTCCCCCAGTGTAAATACCTCCTAGCCCGGTGCTGTGTAGACCTCAACAAGTAAGTTAATGATATTACTACAGGAGTGGACTTGTCCCCCAGTGTAAATACCTCCTAGCCCGGTGCTGTGTAGACCTCAACAAGTAAGTTAATGATATTACTACAGGAGTGGACTTGTCCCCCAGTGTAAATACCTCCTAGCCCAGTGCTGTGTAGACCTCAAGGAGTAAGTTAATGATATTACTACAGGAGTGGACTTGTCCCCCAGTGTAAATACCTCCTAGCCCGGTGCTGTGTAGACCTCAACGAGTAAGTTAATGATATTACTACAGGAGTGGACTTGTCCCCCAGTGTAAATACCTCCTGCTGTGTAGCCTCAACGGTGCTGTGTAGACTGTGTAGACCTCAACAAGTAAGTTAATGATATTACTACAGGAGTGGACTTGTCCCCCAGTGTAAATACCTCCTAGCCCGGTGCTGTGTAGACCTCAACAAGTAAGTTAATGATATTACTACAGGAGTGGACTTGTCCCCCAGTGTAAATACCTCCTAGCCCGGTGCTGTGTAGACCTCAACAAGTAAGTTAATGATATTACTACAGGAGTGGACTTGTCCCCCAGTGTAAATACCTCCTAGCCCAGTGCTGTGTAGACCTCAATGAGTAAGTTAATGATATTACTACAGGAGTGGACTTGTCCCCCAGTGTAAATACCTCCTAGCCCGGTGCTGTGTAGACCTCAACGAGTAAGTTAATGATATTACTACAGGAGTGGACTTGTCCCCCAGTGTAAATACCTCCTAGCCCAGTGCTGTGTAGACCTCAATGAGTAAGTTAATGATATTACTACAGGAGTGGACTTGTCCCCCAGTGTAAATACCTCCTAGCCCAGTGCTGTGTAGACCTCAACGAGTAAGTTAATGATATTACTACAGGAGTGGACTTGTCCCCCAGTGTAAATACCTCCTAGCCCGGTGCTGTGTAGACCTCAACAAGTAAGTTAATGATATTACTACAGGAGTGGACTTGTCCCCCAGTTTAGATACCATACAGCTTGGTGCTTTGTCATTCATCACTGTTGAATTACCTTGTAGTGTTGTGCCTTGTTCTCAACATTATAAAAACTCCTGTGTATTTTCCTGATCAGATGATTATAGAAGTCAAAGCTTTTGCCATTGGACAGATATTACCAAATCAGAATTATTTTAAAAATTGCATCAAAAGCTATTTGTTTGAATGGCAACATTTTGTAGACTACAGCGGCAGAAATGTCTTTGAGAAAATGATTCTTTAATGTGTTTTATAAGGATGTTTTATTTGTGTTGTAGATTACCTGAGGCAGAAGAGGTGTTAGTTGGTAATATATTCCAAAGTAAAACCAAATCCTGTGATGAATTAGAGGCAGAGTTCAGTGGAATAGCTTGTCATGTGTTCTCCTTATTAGGGCATGTTTACAGGTGTGTGAATGGTGTATACATATGTCACATGTTTGATAGAGCATTTCATATTTCACTTGTAAATATTTCTCTTCTTTTTGTATATATTAGTAAAGTAGCTATGGACATTTAACTTGCAAATTTCATGAAATAGAAAGTAAATTTGTAATGATTGAGATGTGGTAGAATTCACCTTTTTGCATTTCAAGAGTTGCTTCCTTAGAGTTTAGTAAAGCAGAAGTGGATGAGAGATTAAATAAGGTTGTGAATAAATGTTTGACTTTTGGATATTTTAAGGTTTTGTTTCTGTTTTCCAGTAAAACTGAACGACAACAGAAAGCTATAGAATGCTTCAAGAAAAGTCTCAAACTAAATCCCCTCATGTGGTCATCCTTTGAACAGCTGTGTGAATTAGGTAAGGGCTGTGTGTGATGAACTTGTCGTCCTTTGAACAGCCTTGTGAATTAGGTAAGGGCTGTGTGTGATGAAATTGTCGTTGTGAATTAGGTAAGGGCTGTGTGTGATGAAATTGTCGTCCTTTGAACAGCTGTGTGAATTAGGTAAGGGCTGTGTGTGATGAACTTGTCGTCCTTTGAACAGCCTTGTGAATTAGGTAAGGTAAGCTGTGTGTAATATTCTCTGAATAAATCCCCTGAAATTGTCGTCCTTTGAACAGCCGTGTGAATTAGGTAAGGGCTGTGTGTGATGAACTTGTCGTCCTGTGAAAGCCTTGTGAATTAGGTAAGGGCTGTGTGTAATATTCTCTTAATAAATCCCCTGAAATTGTCGTCCTGTGAACAGCCGTGTGAATTAGGTAAGGGCTGTATGTGATGAACTTGTCGTCCTGTGAAAGCCTGGTGAATTAGGTAAGGGCTGTGTGTAATATTCTCTGAATAAATCCCCTGAAATTGTCGTCCTTTGAACAGCCGTGTGAATTAGGTAAGGGCTGTGTGTGATGAACTTGTCGTCCTGTGAAAGCCTTGTGAATTAGGTAAGGGCTGTGTGTAATATTCTCTTAATAAATCCCCTGAAATTGTCGTCCTGTGAACAGCCGTGTGAATTAGGTAAGGGCTGTATGTGATGAACTTGTCGTCCTGTGAACAGCCGTGTGAATTAGGTAAGGACAGTGTATAGAAAATCAGGTCAGAAATAATCTCTTGTAAATAAATAAATTTATAAACAAAGAAATGTCAATAAATGTAGGTTGATGTTCTCAATGGTACCACATTACAAATTGACATATGAGACAACAAAACCAATCTGAGATTTTTAGCTATTTTCAAGGTTTAATTAAAATCATCGAAAATAGCTTCATTGAAAATTACATTTAGTCTAGAAAATAATCTGCCATTTCATGGTGTTAGCATCAAGCTTTTGTTACGGTTTACATTATAGCAGAGTTTGAAAGATAAAAATGTAAATCTATGACTTATTACCATATTTATCATATGCAAAGGAGGCAAATGGGATTATTGTAGTATAACTGTGGCAAGTTTTTCTGACAGTATATTTCCTGACTTTTCCAAACAGGTGATAAGACTGAACCATGTCAAGTGTTTAAGGCGCCACCTCACTCCCAGATCACACCAGTACCTCAGATGGTTAAACACATGTGTAGTCCTAACTGGGGACGTCTCGACATGATGGAGTTCCTAAAAACACCAGATACTCTTCAGCAACACACGCTCTGCGAGTCCAAAAGTCAGGTAGGTGCCCCTTATCCCAGTCCCAGTACGTTTCTTGCATAACAAACATTTTCAGAGAGGTTTAGTAAATATATGGCCGAGTATGCTGTCCACTTTACAGATGACATGTGAATTCTACAGTGTGTAAATAAATATTTAGATACAGAATTCCTGTATCCCCTATGCCTACATATACAATTGTTTTGATTTTTATGACTCTATATTAATACTGCACACGGCAAAACTTTTTCCACAGATTTGTTTTAACTCAACAGGAAACTGCTAATTTTCATTCGCTGTTGAATATTTTCACTCTAGTATACACAAAAAAAGTATATTTTATCTTTATCATTAATTTTCAGCCTGCCTTGTATGTTTTCTCCCTGTTGGCAAAATGTTACAATGCTGTGAAAGTATTCCTGTATGATGAAATCGGTATCAATCTCACTAAGTAAGGTTTTGTTATTGATAGACGCCGTTCCAGGGTCAAGGAACACCATTTACACCAAGTTTTGCAAACCTTGACTCTCCGTCTCAACTTATGTTTGTCACTCCATCACCAGCACTGACGGATAGTAACACTCTGGAGAGTCGTGCACCAAGTAAAAAGGTAGATACTGTCACCTTCACAAATATACACATGTATAGTAGATACATATACTGTTTTAATAATTTGTAAAAAAAAGACTTAATTGTTCAAAGAACTATTAACTTTATAAGACTTAATATGATTTATTGGGATTTGGTGAATTTTGTGTTTTCAAATATTGCATATCAATTCTTAGTATTAACACTTAATGTTTTTGTTTTGTTTTTTGCTTTTTAGCCTGTGACGCGAAGAAGTCAGCAAACAGGGTAAGATACAAGTCAGATATTCCGAGTATTTCACTTCAAAATGCAAAATAAACGTTTTTGCCAATTGGTGTTCCAGAACTATCAAAAAAGCTATTCACATTGAGGTACACAATATCTTTTAACAATTGCATTAAGTTACCCAGGAATCCTCTTCTACAGAACTACCTCTGGATTCTTTCAAAGGTTCCATTTTGTACCGGAGGGTGTATTTTTTGCAGAAAAATTATCTTATGTAAATTTAATATCTTTATTGAACAAAGAGATAAAACTGCAGTGTAACTAAACAGGATCCAGTACCAAGAGAAAAAATACATTTAAAAGAAGATTTTTGTAAATACGTCTGTTGAGGATAATCATCATTTGATTTTCTCCGCTTCATTGCTTCACAGAATACAGAACAATCCTCCTGCAGCACGGAAACGGACAGTGAAGGTAAGAATATACACATTTAAGATCTATATAATGTGTCTCTTTTGCCACACGTATATTTAATCATATGCTGTCAAAACCGGAGAAAATTATTTTAGTCGTGCTTTGTCTTCACAATTGAAGACCAGACACTAAAACTGTATAATGTAAGTCTCTGTTTACTAGTTCAGTATTTGGGGAAGCAATCTTCCAACCAAAAAAGATGAAATTAGACGAAGAAACAGCTGTTAAATTTATCAGCTCTGTTACTGCTAGTTAACTATTGATATCACAATTACCAAATTATTTTTTACAAAATGATCTACGCTACTCTTTGCACTTTGATTTAAATGTATGTAAGTTCTCTGGCTGTACTGTTTATATAGTGAATTATAAATGAGGTTGATTTTGTTTCCACATGATGGCACATCTAAAAATAGATACTACTGGTAGTCAGAAGGGGAACTGGTAGGTTTCTACATTTTCGTATACTCTTGTTACGTTTACATTTAGTTACTTAAGTGAAAGTTGAATCCCCTATTGGGAGGAATGAGAGTAGTTAAAAATTTTAATAGTAGGTAACTATGTGTGGATAAATCTGTTCTGTTTATGTAAATCTGTTGTATTGTAATGTTTAATGTGTATGAACAAATCTGTCCTGTTTATGTAAATCTGTTGTATTGTAATGTTTAATGTGTATGAACAAATCTGTCCTGTTTATGTAAATCTGTTGTATTGTAATGTTTAATGTGTATGAACAAATCTGTCCTGTTTATGTAAATCTGTTGTATTGTAATGTTTAATGAGTATGAACAAATCTGTCCTGTTTATGTAAATCTGTTGTATTGTAATGTATTGTAATGTTTAATGTGTATGAACAAATCTGTCCTGTTTATGTAAATCTGTTGTATTGTAATGTTCAATGCTCGTGAACAAATCTGTCCTGTTTATGTAAATCTGTTGTATTGTAATGTTCAATATGCTCGTGAACAAATCTGTCCTGTTTGTGTAAATCTGTTGTATTGTAATGTTCAATGCTCGTGAACAAATCTGTCCTGTTTATGTAAATCTGTTGTATTGTAATGTTCAATGCTTGTGAACAAATCTGTCCTGTTTATGTAAATCTGTTGTATTGTAATGTTCAATGCTCGTGAACAAATCTGTCCTGTTTATGTAAATCTGTTGTATTGTAATGTTCAATGCTCGTGAACAAATCTGTCCTGTTTATGTAAATCTGTTGTATTGTAATGTTCAATGCTCGTGAACAAATCTGTCCTGTTTATGTAAATCTGTTGTATTGTAATGTTCAATATGTATGAACAAATCTGTCCTGTTTATGTAAATCTGTTGTATTGTAATGTTCAATGCTCGTGAACAAATCTGTCCTGTTTATGTAAATCTGTTGTATTGTAATGTTCAATGCTCGTGAACAAATCTGTCCTGTTTATGTAAATCTGTTGTATTGTAATGTTCAATGCTCGTGAACAAATCTGTCCTGTTTATGTAAATCTGTTGTATTGTAATGTTCAATGCTCGTGAACAAATCTGTCTTGTTTATGTAAATCTGTGTATTGTAATGTTTATTGTTTACAGGAGAACAAAAGTCCAAGAGGAACAGGAAGAAATCCAAAGAAAAATATAGGTAGATCTTTTTGACTTAACGGTATACAAAATATGTCATGCTTTTTAATCTGTTTCTATCTAATGAAGAACATTTCAGTGTTGGTAAAGTAGTATGGCTTGTTCTGCATCATGATGATCTGATACAGTAAAACATTCTGTGGGAAATCTCAAGAGATCATTTGTTTTCAACTAGGTTTGTATTTCTGAAGATGATTCCACGTTTGAGTTATCAATAAACCTTGTGTTTTCTGCTGTGTTTGATACCAGGTCTTGGCCTCGGTAAAACAGATCTGACAAGTGACACAGGTACCAAACCTCTACAGTCTGACGCGCCATCACAAACACAGATTCTTCATATACAACATCAGTCGCTGTGTAAGTATAGAGACAGGATGACCATGGGACACATAATATTCTTGCACTCACTGAAATTGAAATGTACAACACACAGTTTGTGGTTGTTTTTGCAATTACTCAGTTTTTACGTGATAAAATAAGATAATTAATTTGTTAATTACTTGATATATTTGTAATTAATTATATGTCTACATTGCCCTCGTGAATTATTTTTATAAATTTACAAAAAATGCTTTGTACAAGCAAAAAGCAAGTCCTTTTTTTTATATATATATATCTTTTACCCTTGTTAATTATTTTTCTAAAGTTACAAAAAACAGTTGGTACAACCGAAAGTGTAATTTTTGAAAAATTGCTGCCTTGTGCGAGAAATGTTTACAGCAATCACTTGTTGTGGAACCTCTGATGCAATAGTCAAATTCTGCTTATAATGTCCAGAACATGAGTGGTGATATCCAGTGTGTGTGCTTACTACATGTTTTTACAACATGAATGGTACTTTTAGTGGTGTTTTGAGTATATCTTAATGATGGAACCCTTGGATTTTGTAGGTGGAATGCTGAACCTCCTACAGAGTATGGGGCGAGCCTATCAGGCGTTAAGTCAGTATGATTGTAGGAAGGCCATAGAGTACTTTCAGGACCTTCCGCTTCACCACTACAATACTGGTTATGTCCTATGTAAAGTGGGGCGTGCCTATTTTGAGCTTGCCCAGTATCAGAAGGTAAGTTGTCTGACTCTGTACCCCTTAAACAGCCACACAGCATTGATATCACAGCATTGATAAGGGGAACTTGATCACGTGTAACATCATATTATCAGAAGCAAAAACACAAAAGTACCTCCTTTTGTCAAACAAGATCAATTACCTTGTTAATTAAATATTTGATGACTACCATAAGATAACCACAGATTATCCCCCCTTGTCAAATACATTTGAATTATTTCTGGTTGGTGCCTATTCAAAATTTTCCACTCGTCAAGTCAGTTGATTAGTTTTACACCATCTTTATTGTCTTCTTATTGTCAGCTCTCAGTTTTTGTTTATTTCAAGTCTATCTCTTTTATTTCTCTCTCACAATATCAATATATTATATGCATGTTTCAGGCTGAACGAGTTTTTTCTGAGGTGCGGTCACTAGAACCCTATCATTTAGATGGCCTTGAAATACACAGTACTACCTTATGGCATTTACAGAAGGATGTAGAGTTATCTACTCTTGCTCAGGAACTCTCCGACATGGATAAATCTGCTCCACAGGTATACAAAAGATAATGCAGCTTGCCAGATTTGAAAACAAAGAGTTAAATACTAGGACTAAAGTATTTTAAAGTGCATTTCAGATTATTGCCAGTTACCATAAAGACTTTGTTGCTTTTAACATTCAGTTGATCGCTCCTGTGATGAAAGCTTTTGGTTCTTGTCTGGGCAAAACATGGCCAAGACATACTAGTGTCTGTTAAAGGAGTAATTACTAGTCCTTGCTTAATCCTCAGCTTTGAGGTTGCATATCAACTGGTTTGGCAGTTGTCGACATAATGTTACCTGGTGTTATGTCCTGCTGGAGGCTTTCGGCAGAATGTGATTGTCAAAGCACTTCACACACAGCATCAGTCATGCACTATCACCAGAAGGCTTACACAGACATGAAGTATCCTCCCACAAATGCATGTACAAGCACTGGCATTCACTAGGGAGATATAAACAACCTTAAATGTTTATAACAATATTAAGGAATTTGAAATCAAACCCAGAACTTCATGAAAAATTCTCAATATCTCAATTGGTAGAGTATTAGTCTTATAAACTAGCTGTGAAAGGTTCACTTTACAACTGAAGGCATTGAAAAAATTTTGTCATCGCTATATCAAGTGTAATGAAACTTGGAAAATGTCTTTTATTGGAAAAGTTCCCAAATTATAGAGTAACTGATATGTGCTTTAATTACAGGCCTGGTGTGCCATGGGGAATTGTTTCAGTCTACAGCGGGAACATGACACTGCCATAAAGTTCTTCCAACGAGCGATACAGGTAAAAACTAGATTCAATGTTTCTGGTCTGTCACTAGCAAATCTCTCGATAAAGCAGAAAATCATAGATTCAAATTTATCCAGCATGGTATTTATTATTTGTCATAGACATCAAACTTTGTGATTTGTCTTGCCATGCCTTTAAATTAAATGAGTGTTTACAGGTTGATCCTAGCTTTGTCTTTTGTTGTCAATATTCATGCTGACTTTGACGTGTTTACAGGATGATCCTAGCTTTGTCTTTTGTTGTCAATATTCATGCTGACTTTGACGTGTTTACAGGATGATCCTAGCTTTGTCTTTTGTTGTCAATATTCATGCTGACTTTGACATGTTTACAGGATGATCCTAGCTTTGTCTTTGTTGTCAATATTCATGCTGAACTTTGACGTGTTTACAGGTTGATCCTAGCTTTGTCTTTGTTGTCGTTATTCATGCTGACTTTTGACATGTTTACAGGATGATCCTAGCTTTGTCTTTTGTTGTCAATATTCATGCTGACTTTGACATGTTTACAGGATGATCCTAGCTTTGTCTTTTGTTCTCAATATTCATGCTGACTTTGACATGTTTACAGGATGATCCTAGCTTTGTCTTTGTTGTCAATATTCATGCTGAACTTTGACGTGTTTACAGGTTGATCCTAGCTTTGTCTTTGTTGTCTTTATTCATGCTGACTTTGACGTGTTTACAGGTTGATCCTAGCATTGTCTTTGTTGTCGTTATTCATGCTGACTTTTGACATGTTTACAGGATGATCCTAGCTTTGTCTTTGTTGTCTTTATTCATGCTGACTTGTGACATGTTTACAGGTTGATCCTAGCTTTGTCTTTGTTGTTGTTATTCATGCTGACTTTGACGTGTTTACAGGTTGATCCTAGCTTTGTCTTTTGTTGTTGTTATTCATGCTGACTTTGACGTGTTTACAGGTTGATCCTAGCATTGTCTTTGTTGTCTTTATTCATGCTGACTTTGACGTGTTTACAGGATGATCCTAGCTTTGTCTTTGTTGTCTTTATTCATGCTGACTTTTGACATGTTTACAGGATTCAGCTTTGTCTTTGACTTTGTGACATGTTTACAGGTTGATGCTTTGTCTTTGTTGTTGTTATTCATGCTGACTTTGCTTTGTCTTTTGTCTTTTGTTGTTGTTATTCATGCTGACTTTGACGTGTTTACAGGTTGATCCTAGCATTGTCTTTGTTGTCTTTATTCATGCTGACTTTGACGTGTTTACAGGATGATCCTAGCTTTGTCTTTGTTGTCTTTATTCATGCTGACTTTTGACATGTTTACAGGATGATCCTAGCTTTGTCTTTGTTGTCTTTATTCATGCTGACTTTGACGTGTTTACAGGTTGATCCTAGCGTTTTCTTTGTTGTCGTTATTCATGACAATTTGACGTGTTTACAGGTTGATCCTAGCTTTGTCTTTGTTGTCTTTATTCATGCTGATTTTGACGTGTTTACAGGATGATCCTAGCTTTGTCTTTGTTGTCAATATTCATGCTGACTTTGACATGTTTACAGGTTGATCCTAGCTTTGTCTTTTGTTGTCGTTATTCATGCTGACTTTGACATGTTTACAGGTTGATCCTAGCTTCGCCTATGCCTACACTTTACTTGGCCACGAGTATGTGTTCACAGAGGAACTTGATAAAGCCATGTCATGTTTCAGAAATGCAATAAGAGTCAATTCTCGTCACTACAATGCATGGTGGGTATATTTTGTTGCTTTACGGTTCATGGATGAGAGAATTTCTGTCATAGGATCAGATAAGAGTGGTTTGATATTTCATTTGAAACCTGAAAACAAAAGCTGTAGGTTAGAACCATGGAATATTAGAAAGAATGAAAAATTTATTTATTTATACAGAAATTATTGGTATAAAGACCAGTTTTAAACTTTTATGATTTCAAGTTTGCAGAAAATGCGATGATTAAACCAACAATGTCTTCTGTGTAAACTGTAGTGTAGTTGAGCAATTCGTTTTGGGCCTATTTTGCCTCTTTTCAGTCAGTTGGCTGTTAAGACCCTTGGGCCTCTTGTTCAACTTTTAATCAGCTGTTTGTCAACAAAGTTCTAAAATAAAGTATAGAGAGGATATTTTTTTGTTGTTGAATTACCAAGATTTTTTCATTGAGTGGTATGATTACTTTAATATTGAGTTGCTGTTCTTGAACTCTGCAATGCACCATATTGGAATGATATTTTAAATGCAAATAGTGTGACAGATCTGATTGGTCCAAAATAACTGGAAATATCAAAAATCATTATTTTCACTCATATTTCAACTGTGAAATCTTTCATTTCAATGCAAACTAAATGAATAAAAATGTTTACCATACAGAGAAAAGGTTGGAATCCTCTATGTACTCATCATTGAATGACATACATTTACTTTGTGTTCTTCTGACAGGTACGGCGTTGGTATGATCTATTTCAAACAAGAGAAGTTCACACTTGCTGAGGTTCACTACCGGAAAGCTCTCCTGATCAACCCACAAAGTCCTGCTCTCCTCTGTCATATAGGAGTGGTGAGTGGCAAACACAGGGCTGATTTGTCTCCCTGTTGACAGCGACCTCGGTCATTTCGAGAATCCTGATCTCTTTGACCAGCTGAATTAGAGTTGGTTAATGAAATATGTAGAAACATATTTTTCTTTCTCTTTCTCAAAATTTTTCTGTTACCTCTAGTCTTTTGGTATATACTGTAACTATACAAAATAAAATTGAAAAATGCCCTTCACATAATTTTCTTTTTATAAAATCTTTTCATCTGTCCTTATCCACTGTCCAGAACTGACATTAACAACTCTACCAACTTCAATAAAGAAATGTCATGGTGGACCATTAGTAGAAAATCATGGACCAATTTGATTGGTCAAGCATTCTTAATCTTACAAGTTCTCCCCCATCCCCCGCACCCAACAATATATATATATATTAATGTATCTGAAGTGATCATTTTGACTTGTGAACTGTAAATCTGTGTTTACAGGTGCAGCATTCTCAGCAGAAATCAGAGAGTGCCCTGGTGACACTAAATAAAGCCATAGAAACCGACCCTAGCAATCCACTCTGTAAATTCCATCGGGCATCTATCTTATTTGCCAGTGAAAGACACAAAGTAAGTTTTCTTTTGTATACTACACATTTTGTATGTGTCATGTTTAATTGAACTTAAATTTTATCTATCAATTTCAATAGGGTTGTGATAGCTCCGGTGGTGAGAGCAATGGTGAATGCAACCTCGGGTGAAGATCTGAGGTTCGTGGTTCAACACTACCTACCAACAGTAGTTTTTTGTTTTGAGAAACTGAAACAGACCAGTCTTTGCTAACTCCCTCGTTCCAACCTAGAGCAGATATGTGTTTCTCAGGTGAAGACCACCAGAGACTTGGTTTCAACCTAGGGCAAGTCTGTGTTTCTCAGGTGAAGACCAACAGAGACTTGGTTTCAACCTAGGGCATGTCTGTGTTTCTCAGGTGAAGACCACCAGAGACTTGGTTTCAACCTAGGGCAAGTCTGTGTTTCTCAGGTGAAGACCACCAGAGACTTGGTTTCAACCTAGGGCAAGTTTGTGTTTCTCAGGTAAAGGCCACCAGTGGCTTGGTTTGGGTAAGACACCTTATCCTAATTGCTTTGGAAAGCATGTGGAGGACCTTCAGTTTGTCTTTCAGTGACAAAGCAACCAGTTACTGCAATAAGATCCTGAATCAAAATTACTTGTTCACATGGTGATAAACCCAGCAAACAAATAATATTTCACGCTTAAAAAATAACTAGTAGCACCTGTGTGTTGTAACTTATGATGTTGAATTGTTTTAACAGGAAGCTGTTGTGTTTTGTAACTTATGATATTGAATTGTTTTAACAGGAAGCTCTTCAAGAACTAGAGGAGCTGAAACAAATTGTTCCAAAAGAATCTCTTGTGTATTTCTTAATAGGCAAGGTAAGTAGTGTAGTGGACAGTAGTTGTGATTCTGAGGATCGTTTTTATAAAACCTGGGGGAAAATCTGAAGTAGACATCTTGAAAATGCAGAAAAAATTTGTTAATTTTACCTCTTTGTTTCAATGGATTTATTGAAATATCTTGTTGACAAATGATATAACAGCATGTTGAATTTTACTATGAAATTCAGTCTGATTGACACATAGTTTGACGTTAATAATACTCTGTATTACAGGTACACAAGAAATTAGGTAACTCTGATTTAGCATTAATGAATTTTTCCTGGGCCATGGACTTCCTCATGAAACAGCCAAAAGACATGGACTTGGATTTTATCTTCTTTCACCAATGTTGATGTTTAGAAAACCTCTCACCAATATGTTGATGTTTGGAAAACCTCTCGCCAAGATGTTGATGTTTAGAAAACCTCTCACCAATATGTTGATGTTTAGAAAACCTCTCACCAATATGTTGATGTTTAGAAAACCTCTCACCAAGATATTGATGTTTAGAAAACCTCTCCCCTCTCACCAATATGTTGATGTTTAGAAAACCTCTCACCAATATGTTGATGTTTAGAAAACCTCTCACCAATATGTTGATATTAGAAAACCACGCACCAAGATGTTGATGTTTAGACCAATATGTTGATGTTTAGAAAACCTCTCACCAATGTTGATGTTTAGAAAACCTCTCACCAATATGTTGATGTTTAGAAAACCTCTCACCAATATGTTGATGTTTAGAAAACCTCTCACCAATATGTTGATGTTTAGAAAACCTCTCACCAAGATGTTGATGTTTAGAAATTCTCTCACCAATGTTGATGTTTAGAAAACCTCTCAACCAAGATGTTGATGTTTAGAAATTCTCTCACCAATTTGTTGATGTTTAGAAAACCTCTCACCAAGATGTTGATGTTTAGAAAACCTCTCACCAAGATGTTGATGTTTAGAAAACCTCTCACCAAGATGTTGATGTTTAGAAAACCTCTCACCAATATGCTGATGTTTAGAAAACCTCTCACCAAGATGTTGATGTTTAGAAAACCTCTCACCAAGATGTTGATGTTTAGAAAACCTCTTATCAAGATGTTGATGTTTAGAAAGCCTCTCACCAATATGCTGATGTTTAGAAAACCTCTCACCAAGATGTTGATGTTTAGAAAACCTCTCACCAAGATGTTGATGTTTAGAAAACCTCTCACCAATATGTTGATGTTTAGAAAACCTCTCACCAATATGTTGAAGCCTCTCACCAATATGTTGATGTTTAGAAAGCCTCTCACCAAGATGTTGATGTTTAGAAAACCTCTCACCAATATGTTGATGTTTAGAAAGCCTCTCACCAATATGTTGATGTTTAGAAAACCTCTCACCAAGATGTTGATGTTTAGAAAACCTCTCACCAAGATGTTGATGTTTAGAAAGCCTCTCACCAAGATGTTGATGTTTAGAAAACCTCTTATCAAGATGTTGATGTTTAGAAAACCTCTCACCAAGATGTTGATGTTTAGAAAACCTCTCACCAAGATGTTGATGTTTAGAAAACCTCTTATCAAGATGTTGATGTTTAGAAAGCCTCTCACCAATATGTTGATGTTTAGAAAGCCTCTCACCAATATGTTGATGTTTAGAAAGCCTCTCACCAATATGTTGATGTTTAGAAAGCCTCTCACCAAGATGTTGATGTTTAGAAAACCTCTTATCAAGATGTTGATGTTTAGAAAACCTCTCACCAAGATGTTGATGTTTAGAAAGCCTCTCACCAAGATGTTGATGTTTAGAAAACCTCTTATCAAGATGTTGATGTTTAGAAAGCCTCTCACCAATATGTTGATGTTTAGAAAGCCTCTCACCAATATGTTGATTTTTTTCACTTTAGGGCCTGACTGAAGAGTTTAAACAGATAAAATTACAGGTAAGATTCAAACAGTATAACCTATTGAAACTACATTCTGACGGAGAACCTGTACACTTTCTTTTGTTAGCCCACGGTCATCAGGTGATGGACTATTCTAAAGGCCTTTCGTCCATGGTCAGTTGATTGTCGTTCCGTAAACAATTTTTGTTATCACTATTTCTTTTGGAGGATTTTTCTCAAATTTTATTTGTAGGTTCCTCTTTGTCCTTAGTTGTGTCTGTTGGAGCTGATCAGAAAAACAAAATTGCTGACGGGTGGCATTTGAATATTTTATCGCTAGGAAGGAATTTTCAGATTTTGTATTATTAAGAGCAAAAACAGAGGAGAGAAGGGAAAGGTCAAAGGAACAAATAAAGATCAAGTAATGGTGGGAATGAAAGTCTGTCTTGGATCTTGGATCTCTTGTTTCAAGATAATTGACCTAAGAGTGAAAATGCTGTAAAATCATTGATGATTCAACTGTTTGAGATCTTTGAGCAGATTTGACACATTTTAATGAACTAGATTCTAGTTTTCTTTGTTTTTCGTAGTTTTTGATTTTGCTATTTTTATTCCATCTTGGAAACATTCAAGAATATTGAAATTTAATCATAAAGAGAACTTTTTGTTAATTTCAATCTGATTGGTCATGCTGTCGTGATTATAACCTACCAATTTTATTTCTATTACAGATACCTGACCAGTACACCAAAACTGATCCAACAGTGGCAAAACAGTAAGGAAGAATCAGAACTTATCCTAGGGATCCATTACTGGGTTTTCAGAAACAAACATCAGTTTAGCCATGTCATGTTGGAAAGGAGCAGTGGTCAGTCTTGCGTTTTCAGGGTCTATAGAAGCAGTGGTCAGTCTGGTCTTGGTAAGGTCAGTAGGAGCAGTGGTCAATCTGGCCGTGGTAAGGTCAGTAGGAGCAGTGGTCAGTCTGCCTTAGCGAGGTCAGTAGGAGCAGTGGTCAATCTGGCCTTGGTAAGGTCAGTAGGAGCAGTGGTGAGTCTGCCTTAGCGAGGTCAGTAGTAGCAGTGGTCAATCTGGCCTTGGTAAGGTCTGTAGGAGCTTAAATCAAACTGGCATTGTCAGGGTCTATAGGAGCAGTGGTCAGTCTGCCTTAGCGAAGGTCAGTTGGAGCAGTGGTCTGTCTAGCCTTGTCAGGGTCAGTAGGAGTGGTAAGATTTATAGGAAGCAGTTGTCAGTCATGTTAATCAAGTACAGTACAGGTGGAAACCATTACTGTGGTGTCCAGGTGTCAGACACCACCACCTACTGACAAGGCTCTACTGGTCCGACAAGGAGACATTACGGTTCCAGTACTGTTGTTGTCCAGGTGTCTGACACCAGCACCTACTGACAGGGCTCTACTGGTCCTACATGGAGACACTACAGTTCCAGTACTGTTTATGTCCAAATGTCTGACACCATCACCTACTGACAAGTCTCTACTGGTCCTACAGAGGACACTTAGATACCAGTACTGTTGTTGTCCAGGTGTCTGACACCAGCACCTACTGACAGGGCTCTACTGGTCCTACAAAGAGACACTACGGTTCCAGTACTGTTGTTGTATAGGTGTCTTTACACCAGCACCTACTGACAAGACTCTACTGGTCCTAGAGAGGACACTTAGATACCATTACTGTGGTGTCCAGATGTCTGACACCAGCATCTTCTTACAGGGCTCTACTGGTCCTACAAGGAGACACTACGGTTCCAGTACTGTTGTGTCCAGGTGTCTGACACCAGCACCTACTGATAGGGCTCTACTGGTCCTACAGGGAGACACTACGGTTCCAGTACTGTTGTTGTCCAGGTGTCTGACACCAGCACCTACTGATAGGGCTCTACTGGTCCTACATGGAGACACTATGGTTCCAGTACTGTTGTTGTCCAGGTGTCTGACACCATCACCTACTGACAGGGCTCTACTGGTCCTACAAGGAGACACTACGGTTCAAGTACTGTTGTTGTCCAGGTGTCTGACACCATCACCTACTGACAGGGCTCTACTGGTCCTACAAAGAGACTACAGTTCCAGTACAGTGGTGTCCAGTTGTATGACACCGTCACCTACTGACAGGGCTCTACTGGTCCTACAAGGAGACACTACGGTTCCAGTTCTGTTGTTGTTCAGGTGTCTGACACCAGCACCTACTGATAGGGCTCTACTGGTGCTACATGGAGACACTACGGTTCCAGTACTGTTGTTGTCCAGGTGTCTGACACCATCACCTACTGACATGGCTCTACTTGTCCTACAAGGAGACACTACGGTTCCAGTACTGTTGTTGTCCAGGTGTCTGACACCAGCACCTACTGACAGGGCTCTACTGGTCTTACATGGAGACACTACAGTTCTAGTACTGTGGTGTCCAAGTGTCTGACACCAGCACCTGCTAACAGGGCTCTACTGGTCCTACAAGGAGACACTACGGTTCCAGTACTGTTGTTGTCCAGGTGTCTGACACCATCACCTACTGACAAGTCTCTACTGGTCCTACAGAGGACACTTAGATACCAGTACTGTTGTTGTCCAGGTGTCTGACACCAGCACCTACTGACAGGGCTCTACTGGTCCTACATGGAGACACTACAGTTCCAGTACTGTTTTTGTCCAAATGTCTGACACCATCACCTACTGACAAGTCTCTACTGGTCCTACAGAGGACACTTAGATACCAGTACTGTTGTTGTCCAGGTGTCTGACACCAGCACCTACTGACAGGGCTCTACTGGTCCTACATGGAGACACTACAGTTCCAGTACTGTGGTGTCCAGGTGTACTGTGAGAAGCATCTATTGACAGTTATGGCTCTACTGATCCTACAGGGAGACACTACCATACCTTTGCCAAATATTTTATTATAGTTTAAATAATACAGTGTGTGAGATTTTAATTTGACATTGGAAGTCAAACATTACCTTAGCTGTTGTCATGTGATGTGTGCAAATAGTTCCAAGTGATAAAGCAGATATGTCATGTGGTCTTGAGTATGTAGAAGGAGTGTGTTGTGTGGCCATATAACATAAGGGTAGATGTGCCACAATGTCCGACATGATAGTATTTTATTTCAAGAGTTATATGGTATGTAGCTTGTGTGTGTAGATTGTCATACGTTGTGAAAATGGTGTGTTGTGTGGAAGTCATAAGCTATGTTGGTTAGTGTGTGTAGATTGTCATAAAATGTGAAAATGGTGTGTTGTGTGGAAGTCATAAGGTATGCTGGTTGTGTGTGAGGTTGTCTTACAATAAGAATGTGGTGTGTTGTGTGGTGGTTGTTCTATGTTGATGGGAGAGTAACTTGTTATGCAGAAGCTATTGTACAGTGTGATGTACATGTAATGGTCATTTGTGTGGAGGGTAGGGACTTGTTTGATGTAATGGCCATGTCTGGGAGGGTAGGGACTTGTTTGATGTAATGGTCATGTGTGGGGAGGGTA